TCTCCTGTCTCAATCTCTTAAGTAGTTGGGCTTACAGGCACCTGCCATCATGCCTGGCTAATTTTTATATTTTAATAGAGATAGGATTTCACCACATTGGCCAGGCTGGTCTTGAACTCCTAACCTCAGGTGATCCGCCCACCTCAGCCTCCCAACAAGCCCCCTACAAGATTCGAATGCACACTCAAGTCTATGAACCACTGTTCCAAGAAACACATTTCAACATCTTGATATAAATGCTAAAAATTTGGGACAGAATAAATCCTGTGTCACCTTACAACCTCTTGGAAGAAATCTATAAGGTACAAGACCTTATTGCTGGCTCTCTCCAATCCTTCTGACTCCTGCTTCTACAGTCGTCCAGAAAAAGTACAGCTTGTATGTCAATACCTTCCACCTAGATGTACCAGTACAGTCTCTGCTGGATGGTGTATCTGTGTGGAAACTTGGAGATTAAACAGCAATCTCCTTTGCTGCCATTCATCTGGCAGCATAGTTGAAAACCCTTGTTGCATCTGTTCAAAGGTGATCACAAATGAGCGTGAGTGGCTTGGCCCAGTATATTAAAGCTACCGCTCAACACGTATCACTCTTTGCGTAGTTGGTGCTGGATTTGGAGGGGAGGCTGTCACGTGGCTGCAGCCTGCCAGGACGCACACAGAGGAACCCATTCAATATGGTTCAGCTGCCCCCATGTAGCCCTGGAAGCTGGAACAGATGGCTTTCATTGGTTCTGTAATAGTCTAGCAAGGTTTTCACTTCTGTAGCTCAAGAACTGACAAAGGCACCCTTTTTGGAGATAACAAAGCATAGGGAAGGAAGACTACCTGGGTACAAATCCCTTCTCTGCCATTTGCTAACCATGTGACTGCTTAACCTCTTGACCTCAGTTTACTTGTCTATAAAACGTGGATACGAGGACCTACCTCACAGGATTATTATCAATTGTAAGGATGACACGAGATAATGAGGTTAGCAGACTCATAAGTAGAGCTATAATTATTTTTATTTTTATTATTATTAGATGAGGTTCAAATATAGTTTGGCTTGGAAGTTCTTTACCAAATGTATCCATTTATACTTCTACCTCAGCTCTTTATGGGCAGATGCCCAGCTTAATGAAACTTTGAACTCCAGGTTCATAGGTGGAACTGGAAACATTTTCCCTTGGAAATAAGGATGGGTTTGCAGACTAGGTCACAACAGTTAACCCTAACAGAACACACCTCCTGTGGAACCATCCCACAAATTGAAAGCAAAGTAAGAAAACAGTGTCACTTCGAGGGAGAATGATAGGGATTAAATCTACCTCGTTGCTCTATAATCCTGAGTGTACATTATTTAACGTAAATTTTCTTTCCTTTCAACTGTAAAATAGGGCAGTACCTGTGTCATATAATTTTAAAGATTAACTGGGATGCTGTGGCACACAATATCCCGCACGAGAAATAGACATCAAACACAGACAAGCAAAAAATCCATTGTTAGGGAAAACATCTTCCAGGTTCAGTTTGGCTAGATCACCTTTCTACAGTTCTCTCTGCAGTTCTACAGACAAGAGCTGCCCACTGGTGCTCACAGAGAGACTCTCCCATCACAGATCACCCTTCCCATCTATTGGGCCAGAATGGGACCTTCACATCCTTTGGTATCTTTCTCAAAATTCCTCTTTTCAGTAAACATTCCTGGACTGTCTACAGATAACTCTGATATCTAGCTCCTTCCTCACTAAAATATTCAGTGGCTTCCTGATGGTTTGTATTTGTTGCTATGAGGCTTTCTAAATTCTGCATTTCCCCATCATCCTCTTTCCTCTTGACCACTAAGTTTTAATCTCAGAAGCTGCTCCCATTCCCATCACACACTGCCTATGATATGAGGAGCCACTTGCTGTCTTACAATGGACCTAAGTCCCTGCCCAGCACAGAGCATGAGAAACCATCAAGCTCCTTCTTCTGAGAATAAAACACAGCTTTATCTTTAGGGAAAGAAAAACAAAACAAAAAACCACCTAGAGAAGACTATACTAATAGCCACAGAATAGAGAGAGAGAGTTGCAGGCTGGGACCTGGGCACACAACTAATCTACTTACACTGAAGGAAAAACCCCTTCTGGAAAATAAGATGTACATCTATGAGCATCATCTAATATGCCAGATAATGCCGTGAGCCTGAAGTGCAGTTGCAAAGGCAGAGAGGCCTGAGCCTATGGAGCTGCCACAGGTGGGTGGATCACCTGAAGTGGGGAGTTTGAGACCAGCCTGACCAACATGGAGAAACTCCATCTCTACTAAAAAATACAAAAATTAGCTGGGCATGGTGGCATGTGTCTGCAGTCCCAGCTACTCGGGAAGCTGAGGCAGAAGAATCCCTTGAACCTAGGAGGTGGAGTTTGCAGTGAGCCAAGATCACGCCACTGCACTCAAACCTGGGTGACAGAGTGTAACTCTGTCTCAAAAACAAAAACAAAATTAGCAGGGTGTGGTGACGTGCACCTATAATCCCAGCTACTGGGGAGGCTGAGGCAGGAGAATTGCTTGAACCCGGGAGGCAGAGGCTGCAGTGGGCCAAGATCATGCCATTGCACTCCAGCCTGGGCAACAAAAGTGAAACTCCGTCCAACAACAACAACAAAATACCCACAGACTTGCAGTTAAAATGTTCTGAGAAAGAAGGGAGAGTTAAGCTTCCTACAAATATCTGAGGAGATCTGCATGCTCCGGTCATGTTTCCAGGGAGCATTTCCTAATGTTAAGAGAAAGGCCCTATTGTTCACTGTCCTCCCCTTTAGCATCCCCTGTCTACCATCTGCAGACATGGACAGAGCAGCTTGCTCTGCAGCTGAGACAGACCTGCTTTCACACATCCTTAACTTTCATCCTCTGCCTTGTGTGATAAAATTAATCTTGCATAAAGATCTAGTTGATTTTCTTCTGATCTCCATCTTCATTCTTATGAGCTCCCAGAGAATGCTTTAAAGCCTATTCCAAAGCTGCTTCTGCTTCAGTCTAACCACACACCCAGCACTGTTTTAAGCTCAGGGGAATTTACCAATACTGTCTAGCCTCTCCTAATCTGCACCGTATACGTAACCATAGCTGTCCTGGAAACCTGAGAAGCACATTACCCCATAGTCTGATGCCTCGTTCATTTGGCAGGTGCGAGTGAGGCCAGTCCTGTTCCAAGTGTTCCCTGGTACACTTGCAGGGACCTAGGCCACATGCAGACCACAGTGACAATGACCCCAGCCAGACATTTAAAGGGAACACAGGCTGCTGTTAGAAGGAAAGCCAATCCCAGCACAGGGACAAAGTCCTGAAACCTTGCATATCTGTTGACCTAGAAATTCTAGGAATTTATCTTGAAGAAATGTTCATGAAAAAGAGCTAACTTAGTTACAAGGATGTTAACAGTAGCTTTACTTATAAATGCAAAATATTTGAAACAACCCAAATGATGCTAAATATACCAAGGCACCGCCATATGATGAGATTCTACGATATCCTTAAATGCAGGCAGGTTTTTGGGATGGGGAAGGTTTGCTTCTAGGCGTTATGGTAAGGAAGGCCATTACTTTAGAAATACAAGGGGATTAAAATAACCACCTTTTTTTTATGACAAAAAGAAAGATACCAATCCAGACATGAAGCCTCTCTTCTTCAAGGCAAAGTAGTTCACTGTCCTGCCTCTGTCCCTTTACTCTACCTCACAGAAACAAGTAATAACAATGGTGATGATGATGATGATATCAGTGCCATCAACAACCAGCATTTACTGAACACTGACTCTGCACCTGGCAACGTATGAAAGGCTTTAATCCTCAGAATAACCCCATGAAATAGAAAGCATCAACCATACTTTCCAGAAGAGGAGAATAGGACCCTGAGCTATTAGATAACTTCCCAAGCCACACATAACTGGTGAGCAGCAGAGGCAGAATCACACCCAGATGACCTGGTGCCAGAGTGTGTTTAACCACTGTGTTCCACTTCCTCTCTCAATGTATGTATCTCTAAGGAAGCAGCTATGAGGCTATTTACATTTGTAGTCACTTGTTTCCTTACTCACTTTTGAATTCCTTAAAGCCAAGGTCTCATGTTTATATTCCCAGTCCCTGGTAGGTGTCGTGTAAATATCAGCTGCATGAATGAACCAGCCTTAGTTCTCTGCGTGTGATTAAACAGTAACCAATAATAGTAGTAGTGGCTCTCAGTAACTGGCCTTTGCCGCACCTCAGATGCTGAATCGCACAATTTCATTTAATTCTCACAACTTCCCTATGAGTGGGTCCTCTTAACCCTATTTTACAGATGAGCAAACGGAGGCTCTCTTAGAGCAAAGGCTGAAACCATGCTGTATATTTTAGGGCCCGTACCTGATCATTGCAAAGAACATGGAAATCCCGAGATGAAAAACAGATGTGATATAATCGTGGTAATACAACACTCTGGTTTTTGGAATAAGTAGGGCATTGTTCCCTAATTAATTTACTAATGAATTTCAAATATTTTTAGGTGCTGACTCCACGCCAGGCACCATGAGAGGTGAAGTAAAACATCAAGCCAAGCAAGGTCCCACCCTCACAGAGTCACATTCTATTGGGGCATGTGACTCACACTAATGGGTATTTCATTACAGCTGAGAAAAGGAAAGGACACTGTCTCTATGGGAATGGCTAACAAAAGAGAAGCTGAAGAAGTAGTGCCTGAGCTCAGTTCTTACTGTGCAGCAGGAGGAAAAGAGACTCAGCTGTTTGTCCACAGGAGATCTGGAAAGAGAATCCTCAATGGCAGCCCTTCCTTTTCATTCTCAGTAATACTGCTTCTCGTCCTATCAGGGCTGCTCAGCAAAGGCACTTGGGAAGGCACAATGATACAGTCTTCAAGGACAAAAAAATCCAGCAGCGCACAGAGAAAAGCTGAAAGTGTCCACTCTGAGCAGCCACAAGTAGCATGGGATGTCCCTAAATGCCACACTGGCCCCACGCAGCAGAGACTCACGTTTCTCCGTTGACTGCACGGTATGGAAGAGTGTGAGGGGCCTCTCGCTGCAGGACGGGGGCTTGGAGTCGCTGCTCTTCTTCCGAGACAGGTGCAGCTGGGCATTGGTGAGAGGCATATCGGGCACAGTGTTAAATATCTGCAAACAAAGTTTCACAACAAGGTTACACACATCTGTGAACTGGGAAGAAAACAAGCCTGAAGCACTACAATGGAAAGCTTGGCAGTGTCTTGGAATTAGCAAGAAAAGATCCAAGAAGACCACTGACAGTTGCTCAAAATTTCATTTTAAACATTTCTAGAAAATGGCATTAAACATTCTCCTTTGGAAGCTTATCCTAGAGTTTGATAACCACCCACTTCCCTTTCTAACCTCTTCCACTACAATTTCCACTGAGCATCTTTTCATCGTTCTCTCCAGGGAAATAGAAAGCAGCAGCTGTGCTCAATAGAAGCCACTGTCTGTTAATAGCACTTGAAGTTTTTTGACTACCTTTGTCCAGAACCAATGAATCAAAAATCCCTTTATCTTTCTTCATTGGTTCTGTTTCTAAGTTCTTAACAACTACTTCAGAACTTTCTTAAACTGTGAAACATGTATTTAAATAATGTTTCATAAAGGACCCTAGGGCAGGGCACCATTGCCCAATCTTCACCAATTGTCCTCAGCTGCAGCATCCTTTTTTAGACCAGCAGCTCCGTGTTATCCGTGATGCTGAGCTTTTCCTCGTTTATTCTGATAAGTCACACACACACACACACACACAAACACACACACTCTATGTGTGTGTGCTATGGACAATTTGAAAAATGCAGAAAAGTCTCAAGAAGAAAACAAAAAATTATCCCGATTTTACTGCTTAGAGAGAACCACTGTTAGCATTTAGGTTTTATTTCTGAGCTTTTTTTTTTTTTTTGGAGGGGCTTTTATTATCCTTCTAAAAGTTCATGCCAAAAAATGAGAAGTAAATGATAGACAAAAATAATGGCTACTCTCATCTTTTTTTTTCTACAGATAAAAGTATAGCAGACTTTACTAATTATAACAGCTAATGCTTGTATGGTGCTTATGATTATAGTAGCCGCTGCTTATCACAGGCTCCCTTAGGTACCAGTCATCATACTGTGTGCTTTTCATGTAGCTCACTCAGTTCTCAGCAATCCTGAGCAACAGGTAATGTCCTCAGCATTTTATAATGAAGAACTAAGGCTCAGAGAAGTTCAGTAGCCTCAATTGTAGATACAATTACAGGTAATAACAGTAACCCCCCAAGATTCATTTTTAAATGCATACAATAATATTCATGCTCATTCATTCAACCAGCACACACCTTTTAAGCATCTCCTTTATAGAAGGCACTCTGGGTCTAATAGTGAAGGAGGCAAACATGTTCCCTGTGGATAGAGTCTGCACTCCTGTGTCTATGATTTACTGAGTCCTTATCACAGCTAGGCACTAAGTTAAATGCTTTGTATGAATGATCCCAGTTAATATTAATACACACTTTTCATCATTGAAATTATATTCTTTATGCTATTTGTATCTTATACATTTTATCTAATATCATACAGTATTTCCTCATTCATTAAAAAATCTTCAGACATGATTCTTAACGGCTGCATAATACCCCCACTATAAATTGAAAAATCAAAATTTGTGGATCTGTTCATTACCATCTCTTATTCTTTGAAGTTGGTCTCCTCCTGAGTTTTCTCCTTCCTAAATAACAGTCTCTGATGTATCTAGGGCCACCCTTCGCCCATGGGTGGCCCTAGACACATCAGTCTCATGGTCCTCTTTCCTTTTGTGTGTGCATTTAAAAACAGAACTCAAAAGCTGAGATGTAGGAAGCGAAATCATAAGAATCATAAGAATTTCAGCCCAAACAGCTGCTCTCCGTGGGTTGGCAGGTCCTCGGGCTCCAATGATGCCAGCCAGCTGGTTAAATCAGTCTCACTCCTAAACACAGCTGTCTGAAAACAGCATTATCATATTTTCCCTAGGGGACTGAAAATTTTCAACAAGATAAACTGAATCACTACACGTAGCTGAGTTCAACTGGGGCAAGGGAATAAGAAAAGAAGGAAACCAAGTAAAATCAAGAAAAAAACTCCTAACTTCTCAAGCAGCTGGAACCCCAAAAAACAAGTTTACCAGTGCTATAAACATCTCCAGTCTCTTACTGAGCCTCTACAACAGAAAGAAAAGCTCAAGGACTGCAACCTCTAAAAAGCTCTCTCCCCACTCTTTATTTGGCCATCCCCAGGTGACAACCTCACTGTGTACCATTATCACTGACATTTAAAAATGGCCCCTATGTATGAGTTTTGTACCTGCCAGGCACTCTGCCAGGCAGATGCATCCGAAGATGCATCCCTAAACTGTAGGTCAACAGCAAAGCAATTTGGATGACTGTCTCACAATGAGAGATTGCCTTCCCTGCTACACAGCTAAGCAGGAGAGTGACCAGGAGGGAAGCCCCAGGGCTGTAGCAGCCATTTATTCAGCTAATCTCCAGGCAATCCTCCCTACAAAAGCTGGTGTCCCAAACAAACAAGAAGAGGTTTCAACCTAACAGTGTCTTCCAGCATCTTTCTGCCTCTGGCCTCAGTTAGAACACCTTCAGCAATCCCTAGCTAACAGCATTGGAAAATGAGTTCAGAATTAGTGATAGGCTTGGTTTTATTATTTTCCCTCACATGCCACTTCACCTCTGGCCTCCACATTTTGTCTCCTTTTTTTCTAGCGAGTTACTGAAAATGAGTTCCTCACCCAATTACAATGGGAGAAAAATAATGTGTACTTCAATTTCAACTGTCAACAAAAATGTGAGTTTTTACTATTTCCTGAGAACTATAGTAAATGCTGGAGAAACAAAGAAGAGGAACTTGTGAGGAAGGACCATGGCTTTAGACAGATGCGTGAAAAATTGCTTCCAAGACAATATTTATACACAGCAGAGCAGGAAAAGACATGGGAACAAACAAGGGAGAAGTTCACTCTGCTCATCAGCTGTTTCCTCTAAAATAATTAAGTTATCCAAGCATAAGAGAATCAGCTCTGCGAGGAGATTTTTGCCATGGGCAAGAGCCATTGTGAGCCAGGCCCAGGCTCCTGAAGACCACTGATAGGGCTATTCTCAGGATCAAATTAGATAACGTGCAAGGAAGCATGCTGCAAAATGTCCAGTGCCAGACATGGGATTGTCATAATTACCGTTACACGTTCTTCCAAGGTACAGGGTGCCTCTGCAAATTAGATCAAGTCAGAGCAGACGACACAAACTTTCATTAATGACTGGAAAATTGTTCCCCAAGTGACTGTTGTTTATTTAACTCTGACACTTGAACACATGCAAATCGTTTAAAGCCTGTTGACTGGCCACGGGTTTGCCTCCATGCTGAAAGCTCAAGTTGAAATTCTAATGAGAATCTGAATTATTCGCAACTCTTTTGGTTATTCCAATCCTATTTCATTTTAGAAGAGATGATTTCAAGAGAATCAAATGAAGTTTTCTTCAGTCTGTAGAGAAGAATCACTGTGCAAATGACCCTGTCGAATGACGGAAGCAGGAGCTCATATAACCTACAAGCCATGGATTTATGGAGCTCTACCGTGTGGCTGGAACAATCTACTCATTTCACAGAGACTTTCCAAATTAACACAAAAGGGGGAGATTTATTTTCTGCCCCAAGTGCCCAGTTAATACTGTCCAAACTCACAAACTAATTCCTATTTAGTCAGGAATGTCTTAGAGATAAAAGTAAGGAAGACTGTAAGCCTTCTGGAAGCTTTTGGGGAATAAAATTGTAAAACAAAAATATAACTCTGGGTAACTCTTCTAAATATCCCCAATTTCAAGCTTCCTGTAAGTGGAATTAGCAGATCCATAAATACCAAGCTACTGTTGACCCGTAAGCTGCGAGTAACAGTGGTCAGGGGTGGTTTGGCCTCCGAAGTCAGACAGACCTGGGCTGATCCTGGTTCTGCTGCTCATTCAGTGGGCAGCAACACCTACAGCTACACTGACCTCACCATCACTGCCATATCAACGCATCAAATACAGGAAAGGAATTTAAGATCATCATATGGGTACAAATCAAACTGGCTTTGGAGCTAGGCAGACTAGAGTTCAAATACTGACTTTGCCACCTACAAGCTACATAGCTAGTAGATTAATGCAAAGTTAACTCTACTGAGTCTGTTTCCCTTGTGCAAGTGGGGATCTAATACCTGCTTTGCAGAGCTACTGAAAAGATAATCCACATAAAATGCTCAGTGCAGTATGTGGCAAAGAGCAGGCACGAGATGGTGGTGGCATAAACGTCAATAAAAACAAAATTTGAGAGCTTATAATGCTAACTTATTCACATGGATTATCTAGCGGATTATGTTACTCCCAATAACCCTGTAAGGGAGGTACTATTATTCTTGCCCTCTTGAGATAAGAAAACTGAGATTCCTTGAGATTAACTGATTTGTCCAAGGTCACATAGATAAGGAGTGCAGCTGGACTGGTACCTAGATGGCTTGACTGTCTGGGTCTTCAGCACTGTGGTCTTTATACCTATTAATTTGCGAGACAGAGGACAAAATGGGAAGACGTAAGTCTGGAGTCTGGTGGATGTGATTTTAAGTCACTTACTAGCTCTGTGACCTTGGACAAGTTATATCACTCTCTGACCTTCGGAGACCTTATGTGTAAAAAAGTCCCAGGACTGAGGTGAGGACTGAAGTGCCTAATACAGTTTGACATTCAGTGTTCAAAAGATATTACTGTAGTCAATAAAAAAGGAGACATACAAAAAGGGAAATAACTGGAGATTCAACGACGGATTATTCACAGTCCAGACAAGAGGATTAAATTTATATGTGTAAATTTAATTAATGTTCTTTGCAAAACATTGACTTTAACTGCTTACAGCAATGACAGAATTTCCTGTTCTTATTCCCTTGCACTGTCTACAAACTTTAAATTTCATTGATCCCCCTCTGGTCCTTCTTCACATTACAGAGCACTGACACTTGTGGAATTTGTTCTTAGCCATGTCACATATACATTTTTACACCTTCGTCAATCCCATCTGTCACATGTGCCTGCAATTTAAAAGGATTAGGCATTTCCCTGTAATGTGTGT